TTTTGCCCATTTTGGGGTTTTTTTACCCCAAATTTGGGTCCTTCCATTACAGAAATCCCAAAATTCTGATGGTTTGGGGCTTTTTGGGGGGAATTTGGGAATTTTTTGTGTTTATCTCAAATATTTTGGGGTTTTTCCTTCTCCCTTCTCTTCCAGACTTTCTGAAGCCACAATTCCAGATTTCCCTTGGAGTTTTTTCCCAATTTTTGGAGTTTTCTTCTCAAAATTTCTGATTTTTTTCCCCAGTTCAAATTCCAAACTGGAGCTTTTTGGGCCATTTTTTGGGGGAATTTTTGGGATTTCTCCCAAATATTTTGGGGTTCCCGCCCCTTTATCTCTGGGAATGAAATTTTATTTTCTGGGAATGAAATTCTCAAATTCCCTCCGAGTTTTTCCCATTTTTTGGGGTTTTCAGCCCAAAATCTGGGCCCTTTCCAGTTACAAATTGAGAATTTTTGAACGTTTTCTTTGGGAATTTTTGGGATTTCTCCCCAATTTTTGGGTTTCCCACCCTTTATTTCATTCCAGACTTTCTGAGGGTGAAATCCCAAAATTCCCCCTCAGGTTTTTCCCATTTTTCGCCGTTTTCACCCCAAATTCCCCCAATAAAAATCTGCAGCAGCTCCTTCCTTTCTGGGCTCGTTTCTTTGGGAATTTCTTGGGAATTTCGGGGTCTTTTCCCAGAATTTTGGGGTTCCCGCCCTCCCTTCTCTTTCTGCACTTCCTGACCTCGGAATTCTGAATTTTCCCCCAATAAAAGCAGCGACACTTCTGTGGTTTCTGGACCCTTCTTTTGGGAATTTCACTGGAAATTTTTTGGGAATTTCTTGGGAATTTCGGGATCTTTGCCCCAAATATTTTGGGTTTCTGTTTTTTTCTTTTCCCGCACTATTTTAGGAGCAGAATCTCGAATTTTCCACCCCTTTTTTTACCTTTTTCTTCCCGTTTTTCCCCCAATAACAACACCGACACCTCCCTCGTTTCTGGGCTGGTTTTTTGGGGGGATTTTCGCAGGAATTTCACTGAAATTTCCCCGGAATTTGTTCCGGAAGTTTCTGTCTCAGAGCCGGAGCACGCAGGAGTTGCCGTGGGTCAGGGTTTGTTCCGGAAGGTTCCAGAAGGTTCTCTCTCTCTCACAACCGCAGCACGTAGCTGTCGCTGTGGGTCAGGTTCTGCAGTCGCTGTGGGTCAGGTTGGTTCCGGAAGGTTCTAGAAGGTTCCAGAAAGTTCTGTCACAGCCTGAGCACGTAGCTGTCACTGTGGGTGAGGTTTGTTCCGGAAGGTTCCGGAAGGTTCCAGAACGTTCTCTCTCACAGCCGCAGCACGTAGGAGTCGCTGTGGGTCAGGGTTGTTCTGGAAGGTTCTCTCACAGCTGCAGCACATACGAATCACTGTGGGTGAGGTTTGTTCCGGAAGGTTCTGGAAGGTTCCAGAATGTTCTCTCTCTCACAACCGCAGCACGTAGGAGTCGCTGTGTGTGAGGTAGCGCACCCAGCGCTTCTGGAAGGTTCCGGAACGTTCTCTCACAGCCTGAGCACATAGGAATCACTGTGGGTGAGGTTCTGCAGTCGCTGTGGGTCAGGGTTTGTTCCGGAAGGTTCCGGAAGGTTCCGGAAGGTTCTCACAGCCGCAGCACATATGAGTCGCTGTGTGTGAGGTAGCACACCCAGCGCTTCTGGAAGGTTCTGGAAGGTTCTGGAACATTCTCTCTCTCACAATCGCAGCACATAGGAATCACTGTGGGTGAGGTAGCGCACCCAGCGCTCCTGGAAGGTTCCGGAAGGTTCTGTCTCTCACAATTGCAGCACGTAGCTGTCTCTGTGGGTGAGGTTCTGCAGTTGCTGTGGGTGAGGTTTGTTCTGGAATGTTCCGGAACGTTCTCTCACAATCGCAGCACGTAGCTGTCACTGTGTGTGAGGTAGCGCACCCAGCGCTCCTGGAAGGTTCCGGAACGTTCTCTCACAGCCTGAGCACGTAGGAGTCGCTGTGTGTGAGGTAGCGCACCCAGCGCTCCTGGAAGGTTCCGGAAGGTTCCGGAAGGTTCTCTCTCTCACAACCTCAGCACGTAGCTGTCGCTGTGTGTGAGGTAGCGCACCCAGCGCTCCTGGAAGGTTCCGGAAGGTTCCGGAAGGTTCACAATCGCAGCACATAGGAATCGCTGTGTGTGAGGTAGCGCACCCAGCGCTGCCCGGCCCCGCCCGAGAG